TATTATTAAAAATGGTGTGGGATTATAATCATAACATGTACTGTCGGAATGATCTGGTATTGTAAAATAGTTTTTTTTTATATGTTGCACACCGGGTGAAAAGTCAGTCGTGTAACATCGACGGTCGCTCCTGTAACTCACTAGTCAAAATAACACAAGAGGCTGAATAGCTTATTTATATCGATTAATAAGATTTTTATACTCAACTAAATTAACGCGAAAAATAAAATTAGATAGATATTGTATTCAGAATTGATTATCAACCCAAAGTCGGCTCTAAAATCGGCTAGACATTTCATAAAAATGTATTCTCCTGATCTGTATCTCTGTCTGTCGTGGTTTTAAGTTCGTTGATAATAATTTTTAGATATTGAGTGTTCAGTCTTAACACTCTTAATTTATCAATTTTCTAAAAGAATGGTTAGTCGGTTGTCAGACTTAGAATCTATTCTTGATAAAAATGGTCGACTTTCAGCCGAATCGATTTCAAACTTTAAATGTTCTATTAAAAATCAATTATTATATTTTCATCTAAATTAACGCGAATAAGGCTTATTATAATGATAACTTGAATATCCTATTTTAAATACACCGATTATACTCAACCACTTAAATTAATGTGAAAAAAAACAAAATTAGTGATTATTAGCATTATGTATTAATATTTATTTTAAATATAAATTGTTTATGTATTTAAGCAGAATAAATAAGAGGCAGGTTATAATGACGAGTATTTACGAACTTGAATAACATATTTTAAACGCATCGCTTAAAAAGATACACGGCCTAAAATAAATTCTCCGAATGATCTGTCTTTTCTATTTTTTTTATTTATTTATATAAAGTATATAAAAAAAGAAAATTACTCTTAAAAGTTTTATTAGAATATAAATATCTTCTTTTTTTTTTATTTTTTGCCTAATTAAAATTAATTTAAGAAAATTCAGCGATCGGGAATTAGCTTTATAATTTTCATATAAAAAAATATATAAATTTTATATAAAGATTTGCTTTTAAAAAATCTAAAGATGTTATTTTTAAAAGGGCGTAATTAATTCAAGTAAAAATCAAAAGCTCTATTTAAAATTAGAAATCTTTATATAAGCGTAAACTTTATTTTTTTTTACCCAATTTGACATCATTTAGACATCATTTTGGAATTCAAATTAGTAAACATATTAAGCTTGATTTAATTGTGATAACTTAAAACTTAGTATCTTATTCAAAATAAACAAAATAGATTAAAATTATTCAAATTAAATTTACTAAATTTAAAGTTATCACAATTTAATCAAACATATATGTGTACAAAATTGAATGTTTTTTGTACTAAGATTTACTGTTATTTTGTACAAAATTAAATGTTCTTTGTTCAAAATTGAATTGTACGTACTAATTTGATGTCAAATTGAGTAATAATGAAAAGAATCAATGCAGTGATTTATTATACGTAGGGCTGTGTATTTTAAACTTAACAAATACGATCAAAATATACTATATAATAGATTATATAACAGTTTATATATATTCACCAACTAAATAAATGAACAAGTGTGTACGAAATTTAGTAATATAGTTATTATGATTGGTTCAGGTTAAAAATATTTGCTCATTATTTAATGAATCAAATATTCTAGAAATATCAAATAGAAAGCCGGGTTTACAATAATAATTCCCATGATCTTAGTGGGGATACTTTATCTCATCATTTAAACGTAAATCTTTGATTGACACATACAGCTATATGCAAGAATTTATACGTATCAAAATGACACTTCAAATAAGTCAATAATGTACAACTCTAAGTGACAAAAAAATATTGTATGTATTTTATGTTGATGGCAATTATAATTTTCTCCAAGTCACATTAAAATTTACTGCATCTTTTATTAGATTTTTTATATTAAAGCTCATTTCGCAAATTTAAAAAAAATAATACCGAGTTTGTAATAAGTGATTCAAAATGATTAAGTATACACGCAAATAGCAATGCATCAAAAGCAATTAAGAAGAAAGCTCCTTAAAAAAGGAAAAAAAATTTAAGAAAATTATAATTGTTTTATAGTAATTTTTCTAGAATTTTGATCAGCACTGCCACGAGGAATCTTTAAAATAAAATAAAAATAGATTAAAAGAATGATATTTATTAATAAAATGACAAATGTGCATGCAAACCATTCTGAAAATTTGCTTCAATATTTTCACGGTTTAAATCGCAGTCACGTGGCAGAAAGACAACTTTACGGAATTTTCCGATTTTGCGTTCACGTACACGAGATGTTGCAGCTTCATAAGTAAGCTTGCGTTTAGATTCTCCATGAGCAGTTAATTCTAATTTGCGTAGTTCAATTGAGATGTCTTCTTTTGGTACGCCCTAATATATATAAATATATATATATCTTGTGAGTGATTTGTTAAATTTTAGATCTTTAAAAAGAAAATAGTTTTGACTTTACAGGCAGATCAATGTGAATGATGAAAGCTTTGTTCGTGTCAAATACATCGGTAGCGGGTCTCACAAAAGAGAAAGAAAAATTAAAGTTGTATAATATTCGAGTGTAAAATTGTATTCTGTTAAACATTATACAAGAATTACGAATAGTATCGGTCCAAAAAAAGCAATTGATTAGTTGGTCAAAAATTTTTTTAAAAATCGTTTGATAAATCAATTATAGCCAACTAATCAATTAATCGATTAATTGACTAATCGAATTGCATAGTTACTGATTACAAGGTCAAAGTATGTTATATATTTGTTACGTCCAAAAAAATCAATTATATCAGTTATACTATGCTTATTAATAAAATTTTTCACATATTTGATTTTTTGAATATGTGAACTGTGGATTTTGTGATTTGCTGTGATCGAAGCAAATCACAAAAATTATGTGGTTTACTAGTGAATCGATCCGTAATCCGACCATCTGAATTGATCCTTAAATATAGATAAATTTAAATATCCAGATCAGAGATT